ATTTATTTTTTTTTTTTTTTTTTTTTTTGACAGAATTTTTATGTCTGCCACTTGCTAATGTTTTCTATATAAAATTGGATTTGTATCTTAACCTTCCCTTTTACGTAGATATGGAGTATCTATGTTATTAATTACTCTTTTATCATTTCAGATATTACGAGGATCTGTCAGTATAATATACTCACAAGACGATATCATTTTGTAAAAAGTAATAATATCAATATATTTATTGGGAAAAATCATAAATAAGAGTTAAAAACCAGATTTGTTTCTATTTCATGATTATATATGACGTCATATATTTGGTGGATAAAAGAAATATATATATATGACGTCATATAACAGTTTTGATTACGTAAAATTTTTGATTCAACACTGTCTTTTTTTTTTCACCAAATACCTTCTGCTGTAACAACAAAAAAAACGGAAAACAGCAGAATCAGGTTCTGTCTGCAATTGACTTCCAACATTTTTTTATCAGTTGTAACTTCCCAAGTTTTTTGTAGTCAACATTTAATAATAACTAGACAAGTGCCGTTGTGACAAATCATACGCGGTAGATGTCCGTTTCAAACTCAACACAACCAAAATTCAAACCGAGATGCAGAGCTTTAACAGGGTTTAAAAGTCTTGAGCCATTTCTGAGAGTGCACTAATTGTATTGCTTGCCACGTCCAGAAGCTGCAGGTACTCATCCGCACCATCTACAAGTCGCTGGATGCACATCAAAAACGGAACATGATGAGCCACACTTTAACTAAATCTGAAACATATCTAAAAGATCCAAATGACACGAGTCTCAAAGATGTGAACTTGATTTTAAACTTGTTATGCAATTGATCAGAGACGATGGTAACTATTCTCACATGAGTGCTTAACTAACTACATAGATGAGGCAGAAGAGAAGTCTCTCACCTTATCTGTTTCAGCTAGACATTTGCAGATCTTAGCCTTTTGATTATCTGTGATGTCATCACCAGCCTCAACGACTATATCAAATAACTGAAAAAAGACTCGTATTAGAGGTTTATAACAACAACTGCGAGACTTGAACGTGCAGCAAGTAGATAAAGGGTAGATAGAAAAAAACCTGATTGATGATTTGTGATGCAGGATATCCTTCTGCAACTATGTTGTCCACTTCCTTGTTTGCGATATCGAAATCACCACTTCTGCATGCAGTAAAAAATCTCTTCACTACTTCCAGAGGGACTACCTGATCGGTTCAAAAGAGATTAAAAATTAACTATCTGGCTAAGTTTCATGTTTAAAGAAAAGGTAGATTATTTTTCATCCTTACCCCAGACACATTGAGTAAATCCGTAGATGTTATTGTTGATCCAAACAACCGAGCACCACTCTGTAATATTCAAGAAGAAAGACTTGATCAAGTTTTACAGTCAATCTCCTCCGATATCTATATTTTACAGACAGTTTCAGCTAACCTGCAGATACGTGATGGCCCTACGGAGATCACCTTGTGATATGGTGCTCAAAGTTGAAAGAGCCTACACGGAAGTTACATAGTAGTATAAGTAGTTTTGACAAAGACTAAATAAAAGAAAGGGATTTCACTAAAGCATATGTGCATACCTCACCACCGAGGTTGAGACCTTCTTCATTACAAATATGCAAGATACGGTTACTCATGACTTCTTCAGAAAGTGGTTTAAACCTGAACTTGGCACATCTTGAAGCAAGGGGTTCTATGATCCTTGGAAATAAGAAATGAAAGATAAAGGTATTCAGACTCGGCGGGGTCATAGTTTAGCGCTCAACAAAATGACTTCATTATGACTTATAAGTACAAATGTTTTCTTCTAGTAGCTCAATCATAAAACTTACGAGTCTATAAATGAAAGCAACCATTTAACAAACCCAAAAAAGTCGGATAACAAATGAGAGGGAGATGCAAAGAACGAAAAACAAAATTAAGCAACATTTAGGTACTATAATAAAAGAAATTACCTGCTGATATAATTGCAAATGAAAAAGAATCTGGTGACTTTGGAGTAGGTCTCCATTGTGCGCCTCAAGGCGTTCTGCACAAGCAGTAACATAGTTCATGGTAAACACATTTTTTCAAAGTAAAAAAACGTTGTGGTAGTGGTAAAAGATGTTCAGCGTACCTGAGCATCTTCCGTCATCGAATCAGCCTCATCTAGGATGATGATCTTAAATGATGGGCAAGGATATCCACTGAAAGATAATAGCATGGTCTTAGATGAAATGCACACTACACAAAGAAGCAGAAACGAGAAACTGGCAAAAAAAAGGAAACTTGACAATAGCGAAAAAGACAAGGAAGACTTTTGCATACGCTTGACGGTTACTGGACCCAACAGCTACAGCAGCAAAATCCTTGATCTTTGTCCGAACAACATTAATCCCTCTGTCATCACTTGCATTCAGCTCCAACACCCTAGACTTGTACAGTTCAGGTCTGTAAAAAAATAACTCTTTAGTTAGTTCACATAAAACTTAAGTAAACCAAAGACACTCCTCATGGGTTTACATTTTCATACAAACACACAAAGAAGCTTAAACTAACTAACTTGACAAACCCATGGAACAAAGAACACGACAAGTTAGCTTTTCGATTTTGCTTGAAAGAGGGATCAAAATCTCCAAAAATGCAAACCAAAACATTTACATAGCAACACCACATTATGGCTCTACTATTATAATAAATTCAAGAATGCTATCTAGCTACCTAATCAGAAAACTTGGTAAATCATAACGCAATCAACAAAGTCAGAGAGTGAATTATCTCAGCATCCACATTATCTAGTTTTAGAGATAATCCGAATCATAAACCAGGATGTACGATATTAGAGATCACAAGGTCTCTCCTAGAAGTTAGCACATTCTAATATAATCAATCAATCATCCATCAAACGACTACTTGTATAGTTCAAATCAGAGTTTGAGCATGTATACCCAAATAGCTGATGGGCGATGGCAAGTGCAGTAGTGGTTTTCCCTGTGCCTGGTGGTCCATAAAAGAGCATGTGCGGACACTTCAACGACCCAAAGGAAAAAAAAAAACAGAATTGAGTTCCGAATCCGACATCTAGGGTTTTCCACATTTGTAATTGAAAGAACATGTAAATCATTCGAGAGAGAGAGACAAGAGTTTTCTGTCAGATTACGTTAGCAGTCTCGAGAGTGTTGGTGAGGACCCGAACCACCTCCTCCTGATGCGCCACGTCCTTCACCTGCTTCGGCCGGCTTGAAAACCAAATCGGAAAAAAATAAGGAGTTGAGTTAAAATCCGACACGAGTTCTGTCGACGGGAAGACAATACCTTTGAGGAAAGAATCGTACTATTTCTCAACCCATGGCTGTGTGCTCTGAAGAACTGGCGCCATTACTCTTTTCTCCTCTACAATAATTAAAAAAGCTCCACCATCCCCAGTGCGGAGAGAAGACTCCTTTATAACTCCTTCCCGCCATAAACCCTCCATCTGGACAAGAGGGTTTGAGAATATGATAACATATGGAGCACGAGACAATCTCATTAACAAAGTATTCTGCATATATTACAGTATTATTTAATACGATATGCATATACATTGGCAGTCTCTCGTACTACAAGTCTATAACTATAGTTCCACAAGCTGGAATACATCTCACAGTGGATAATCAGATAGTTGTTTATATACATATTAACATGAGATTTTTCCGCCTTTTAGCATTGGATGCTTATTAAGCCAGTGACAGTCTTCGAATGCGCAACTTGAATCATTCTTTCTGCGTAACACCACGTCATTTGGGCTAATGAACCGAGGAGCCCATGCGGGAGTCCCATCTTCATATGAATTATGCGTCAGCCTTCTTAAATTAGAGCCATCCAGTTTCACCGTGAAGATATCACCATATGGTTGGTAATGATGCGGGTTCGAGATCGGCTCCGCTGAGATTCCAGCGTAATCAGATGTGAAGACAATACTCTTACTGTCCGGACTAAAGATGGGATGGTTAGTTCTCCCACCAGTGCCACTCTGGATCAGCTTCCTCAACCCTGTTCCGTTCGGATGAATCAAGAACAGCTCGAAGCTACCCGAGCCAGGGCTTTCTCTATCTGATGCAAACGCAATCCACTCTCCATCAGGTGACCAGCTACACATAGTATCAGTCCACGCACCTTCCGTTAACTTCCATAAACCACCGGTTTCTCCTTTCTCAGCATCCATCAAGTAAAGGTTTTTATGACCAGACCGCCCGGAGCGAAACACGATCAGCTTCCCGTCAGGAGACGGCCAAGGGAAAGCATTGTTCTTCCCGTTCGTCGTCAGCCTTCTCACTGAAGAAGACTTGTCAACAACATCAACATCAATGGAGATGATATCAACCTCTGTTCTCTCCGTAGCAAACGTCGGACCTGAGCTAGTGTACACTCTTCCCAATCTAACCGGATCCCAAGCCGTGGAAAACGCCATCCCATCGTACACTTCACGCCGCCCCGAACCATCAGGCTTCACAACATACACACCAGGCATCTTCACGTAAGCGATCCTATCACCCGCCGGAGAAAACGACGGAAACGAACCGTCGATTCTGAAAAGAGAGAGATCACTAGTCGTCGTCTGTATGTTCTCAAGCAAAAGCAAAGGACTTCTCTTTCCATTAGCTCCACCTCTGCAGCTATGATAACCGACTCGTGACCCATCAGGGGAAAGAAACGGGTTCAAATGGTGACTCTCCGGGGCCACTAAACTTGTCAACTCTCTAAACTCCCTCCTCTGTAGATCAAACAGCTCCACGTGGCGGTAATCACTCCCTGGTCTCCTCGTCGCAACAGCTATGAAGTTATGATTGTTCGGTGACGTGGCAGGTGTAAAAGCGTGAACCCCCGGCGGCGTAACTCTCTGAATCTTCACCGATTCTGTACTCAACGCTCCACTCTCAGGTAAAACCGCTCGGAAAACACTGATCCAACCGTCATCGCTTCGTCTATGGAAAAACAGAGTCTTTTCATCGATCCAACACGGCCAACCACCGTGCTCAACGACCTTGACTCGTCGAATCCCGTCGCGAGTGGAGAACACGTAGATATCCGTACTCAGCTCCTCGACTTCCCCTGTCCATCCTCTCTCGCCGTACGAAGCCACGGCGGTCAAGTTCCCGGAAGGCGACACCGCGGGACTGAAATCAGCGATTCCACTCGGCGTTAACCGCCGAGTCAACCCGGTTCTCAACTCGGTGGAGTAAACAGCTGTCCAACTAGTCCTCGGCTCGCCTGAGTTCTCGTGTGTTGACACGTAGACTAGAAACTCACCGTTTAAACTAGGCTTATCTTTAAACGAATTTACCGTATTGCCATTAAGAAAATCAGCGTTGGATAGCAACGGAATCTGGACTCGAGATGGTCCTTCCAACACCGATCGTCGTTTATTATTGGAATCGGAATCGGAATCACCGTTGTGGAGTAGATCGTAGTAGATGCTTGAAGTACCGTTTCTCTCGGTGACGTAGATGAGATGGAGAGGAGAGGAATCTCCCGGTTGTATTAGGGTTGCGTCGTTGGGAAGGAGAGAGATGAGAGCCGGAGAAGGAGATGGGAAGTAGCCGTTGAAATTTACGGATTCACCGTCGGTGATTCGAATCTCTCTGGAGATAGATGGCGGTTGGGTTCTGGAGAGAGAGTATATGTCGAATTCGTAGTGCGATCGTCCTAGAGTGGTGAACACGATGGTGTCTTCCGCCGATGCGTGAAGCGGAAGCAGAAGAAGAAGTGAGGCGAAGAGTATAAGCGGAGTGATATTCATGGCTGGTTCGTTGCCACAAGATGGAGATGATACTTGGAAGTTATTATAAAGACGTTAGAAACGTTTGCAAGAGAGAGTGGTGTAAGTGATGACGTCATTGTGTATTGTGGGGTCCTTTTCGAGAGATAATATCGACACGTGGCACTCACTTGTGGATGCTGTAACGTTTATCGAAATATTCCTGTTGTACTATACTCTATCTGCTTTGAAGATTTTGCGTCTCTTGTATTGGATGAATGGAGAAAATAGTCTTTGTACCAATCCAGAACAAACTTGGTGAACGTTACTTTTCAACTGTCTATTTTATTTACAAGACGATAAAAAGAATATAAATGTATGACAGGAGAGTTAATACATACATTGTGTCACATCACTCATGAGTCATGACGATAATCTTTGAAATAAATTATGATGAGGAATGATATACAAAAGATTTATGAAATACCCAATTGCAATTTGCAGAATTGAGAGTTTAGTAGATACTAATGGTGGAAATGATGAACTTCCAAGCTGAACATCACTTGTGTAAAAGGATTCACCACTAGAATAAACATCGAAAACTTGTTGACATGACATTGCAAGTCCAACTTGTTGGCTTAACAGTCACTTATGATTAACCAACAAACTCTTACAACAACAATTATTTATCGTCCCCAACATATAGACTTTACCCAATTAGGCATTATGGAATACTGCTACTGCCTTTGACATCAGATCATCTAGTTAATAACTCGAGTACATGCATGGAGAGTTGGCCATGGAGTCGCCTCATATGACGGTTCTACCAATTCATTGGAGTCAGATTCAAAAAATAATTTGTTTATAGTTGAATCTATATATCATGATAGACATGACCCATTTTAATGCCTCAGCCTCTAGAAAATGTACGTAACTTGGACCATCATTGGTGATGTTGGAGACCATTTTACCTCTTTGTAGATCATTGGACCGGCTATAGCCACCATTTCTTCCCTTTCTAATCACTTATCTCACTCCTCCATATTTTCATTTGCTTTCATTATCGTAGCAAGAGCATGATATCCCATTTCTTTTATCATATATTCATTGTGTCCCTTCTTAGCCTCCTCATTATACATGGTTCTTCTTTTTGATCTCTCCTCTGTAGAATGTCTTTTGGGGATAGTTAACAGTTGATGGAGATTTCCAAATAGAGACGCAACCCTATACAAAGATCATTGACATCAACATATCCGCTTGCCACAGAGTTGAGGTAACTAGAAGCATACCTGCGACTACCTAGTCTAATGGAGACGAGAAAATTAATCAAATTCTCATGATGTTTTAAACTCATTTTTGGAAAATGTATTGCCATTCTTTTATACATCTCCTACAGTGAAAGATATCAAGAAGTTTAAAGTTCAAAACTATCTTATTCTTTATTCAATTCCAATACTTTAACAAGTATCACCATAACAAGTCAGCAACTCAAAGAGTAAATTATTAAACAACAAACTATTGTGAAGTCACATCATTACACGCTTATTCATCTTCCCGGTCGAATTCTGCGACTTGAAATCTTCAAAAGCGCAGCTCGCACCAAACCTCGTGGGCCACGCCACATCACCAGTAACTTTGATCTTAGGAAACCACAGAGGCGGTCCATCTTCAACCGAGTTATGCGTGAGCCTCGCAAAATCAGAACCATCCAAATTCACAGTAAAAATCTCACTACTCGCGACGTTGAACTTCGGATTACCAATAGGCTCCGCCGAGATACCAGCGTAAGTAGTAGTGAAAACGATCTTTTTACTGTCTGGACTAAACATAGGATGCATAGATACACCACCGGTCAAATTCTGCGCAACCTTCCTTAAACCGGTTCCATCCGGGTGAACCACATACAAATCCATCAACAACGTACCAATATATTCCCGGTTCGATGCAAACACGATCCAGTTGTTGTCGGGAGACCAAGTGGCTATCGTATCGTTCCAATTACCGTTGGTTAACCTAAACAAACCACCGGCTTCACCTTTCTCCGCGTCCATTATGTAAAGATTCTTGGTACCGGACCGAGCAGACCGGAAGACAATACGTTTACCGTCAGGTGATGGCCACGGGAAGGCGTTGTCTTGGCCGTTAGTCGTTAGTTTTCTAACGGCGGTTGACGGGTTTGGCGCGTCGACGTTAACGGCGAGGATATCCATCTGATCTTTCCCAGAGACTACACCGGGAGCTATGAAAGCAAGAGTGGGACTTGAGCTTGTGTACAAGATCCCGTGCCTAACCGGATCCCAAACCGTACCGAATCCCATATGTGAGAGAATCTGACGTAGACCGGAACCGTCTTGGTTCACGACGAAAACGCCAGTGAACGTTACAAACGCGAAACGATCGCCTTCTGGCGAGAGAGACGGGAAAGCTCCGTCGAATCTGAAGAGAGATAGATCGTCCGAAGTGGTTTTGAGCCTCTGGAGGAGATTCCGAGGATTCTTACGTCCCGTTTTGTCGCCTCTGCAGCTATGGTATCCGACTCGGGACGAGTCGGGGGAAAGAAACGGGTTGAAGTGATGACTGTTGGGAGAGACTAAACGAGTCAACTCGACGAACTCGTTCTTCTTTAAATCGAAAAGCTCCACGTGGCGGATTTCGGATCCTGGCCTCCTAGTTGCTACTCCGATGAAGTCGTTGTTGTTTGGTGACGTGGCGGGTGTGAACGCGTGAATACCAGAAGGCGTGACTCTGTTAACCGTTACGGTTTTGGTCGAAACCGGTCCGGTTTTGGGTAAAGTTGCTCGGTACACGCTGATCCAACCGTCGTCGCTTTTACGGTGGAAATAAAGAGTCGACTCGTCGGTCCACCTCGGCCATCCTCCTTGCTCAACAACCTTGACTCGCTGAGTTCCGTCCCGAGTCAAGAAAACGTAGATGTCCGTGCTAAGCTCCTTGGATACGATACTCCAACCTTTCTCCCCGTAGGAGGCCACGGCGGTCCAGTTCCCGGACGGAGACACGGCAGGAGAGAAATCAGCGATTCCGGGAGGTGTGAGCCGCTGAGTCGATTTAGTTCGTAACTCGGTGGAGTAAACAGCGGCCCAACTCGCCATGGGCTTACCGGAGTTCTCGTGAGTGGACACGTAGATAAGATGCTCGTTGGTTAAGACAGGAGTGTCTTTCATCGAGTTTACGTTCATGCCACTCTGTTGATCAGACAGTAACGGGACTTGAACGTTGGCTTTGTTACTATCGCCGTGAACGACGTCGTAATGTAAAGTAGGCGTGCCGTCTCTCTCAGTGACGTAGATGAGATGGAGAAGAGATTGGTCTTGTGGTTGGACTCCGGATGTATTGGGAAGAAGGGAGATTAGAGCAGGAGAAGGAGACGCTAAGTGGCCGTTAAAGTTGATGGATTTTCCGTCGGTGAGACGGTGCTCATCGGAAGGAGATGGAGGATGACGGCTCGTTGGGAGGGTGAAGATGTCGAATTCGAAGGTGGAGCTACCCATAGTCGTGAACAAGATGGTGGAGCCATTCGAAGCTTGATTTTTCTCAGCTAAAGCTGATAAGCAGAAGATGGAGAGGAGGAGAAAGAAGAAGAGAGTAGAGTTGTTGATTTTCATGGCGGAACTCGTTTTGATTTTGGTCTGAATGTTTGGGATTTAGCAATTGGCGGGAGGATTATATAATAGTTGGATGTGCTGACGTGGATAATACTTATTTTTTTTAAAGCTTTTTAACTGTTTCGGGAAATTTCTATTTCTGTTAATTAAAGATGAATATCCATAGCCTTTACTTTTATTTATTTGATTCTGTTTCCTTTTTTTGATTTGATAAAATGTTTCAAAATTCAATATTGGGATGAATTTGATATGATTGGTAGTTTTGGAAATGGAAAAATATCTTTGAATGACAAAATACATTGGAACATTACAGGAAAGGATATTGACATTATCCGGGAACTCATGACTTGAGGTAAATAAAATCTAGGAATGTGATAGAATTTAGGAAATGATATTTTTCTTTAGCATGGGCGATAGTTTATAGTAATTAATTAATCACATTTCAATCCAAATAAGTGTGTGAATTTTTAGGTTTTATGCATACTTATATAGAGTAAAAAAAATATATTTGACATTAATGCGCGTTAGTATTATATTTACACATAACAGTTTCACATCGATTTGAGAATAAATATATTATGTGAAAAATGTTTCAGTCAAACTCCCTATAAATATGTTCACACTATGTATTACGTTACATTTATTTTCAATATAAAACTCACATATAAGGTTCTGCGGTTATATAAAAGTTCTAATAGAAATCTAATTTGCAAAAATTAACTAACGTCTAAACTATTTTATTTTCACTTAATTTAATTTTAAGAATTTTATCTTTTATATTTTACTTTAAAATTTTTATCTCATATTTTATTTTGAACAAAAATGTATTTAACATTAATTAATAATATCTTTATATATCTATTAACCACATTTGTATATCATTTAATACATATGCATATTGATGTAAACACATATATAATTAAATATTCACTACAAAGGAATATTCTATTTCCTTTAAAAGTTGAAATATTATTTTTTCTAATGTTTTTTCACCATCGACCAAATTATAATGAACTTTTATATAACCTAAAACTTTACATGTGAGTTTTATATTGAAAATAAATGTAACGTAATACATAGTGTGAACACATTTATAGAGAGTGACTGAAACTTTTCTTACATAGCGTATTTATTTAGAAGAATTTCAATTATACCACTTTGATGATACCACTTTTCATGTTTACCATCAACAAATGAACATTTTCAAAAATACACATTTTATTAAAAGACAAAAGACTCTTATATCTTTGTTCTTTATATATATACATAAAATAAATATTAAATAAAATATTAACCCTAAACCCTAAAACATCAATTCTAAACTCTAGGCCCTAAAAAGTAAACCCTAAACATCAACCCTAAACCCTACAATATCAATTTTAAACCTTAAACTCTAAACTCTAAACCCTAAAAAATAAACCCTAAACCCTAAAAATTCAACACTAAGTCCTAAACTATCAATCCTAAACCCAAAACCCTAAATTCTAATAGTATTTTGACTATTAAAATTTTAATGGTAAAGTTGATTAGTGTAAAGTTGAAAAGTGATATCTTGAAAGTGTTATTTCTAGCAATTTTCCTATTTATTTTCAAATTGTTGAGAAACTGGCACGTGGTAAATATAATACTAACGTGATGTCAATATTCCTTCAACAATTTTCAATTTTATATATCATTTAATAATACATATGCATATTGATGTAAGCATATATATAACTAAATATTCTAATTCTCTTAAAAGTTGAAAAATATTTTTTTTTCCTAATATTTCCTTTCACCATCGACCAAATTGTAATGAGATGATTTGTCTTAACAATTTTCCATTTTCTTCGTATGATTTGATTTTCATGTATTTTAAAATTATAATATGAAATTATTGGTTCGACTCAAGATTATCTAAAATTCATACAACATGAAACCAAACAAATAATAACAGATTTAGATTATCACAAAAAAAAACAAACAAAAAATCTCAACAATTTCAACCAAACAAAACAAAATAAATAAGAATTTAGAATGATAGTTATATTTTGGTAGATCAAAAACCTGAAAACAACCTTAAATCGAATCAATATCCGGATTAAACAGATCTAATGTTTTTTTATCTTAAAAATTAACGAAATTAATGAGTGTTTTTTTATCTTAAAAATTAAGGAAATAACAATTTCATTCAACCAAGATTATTATTACCTAGTTGTAAATTAATAAAGATTTACTTAGACTAAATTACTTAGCAAAAGTATCAAACTATATACACTAAAACTAAAAAACATAAACAATATACATAATCTAACATTTAATCAGGTCAGATTAACTGCTAGGTGATTTTATGGATCTGTCTTTTGTCGTTTAAAGGATATTTGCTACTGAAAATATATATCTTTCTGTATAGCTCCAAACTTGTTTTGACATATAACAAGTTGTGAGGGAACAACAATGCCTAGAAGATCCCACGCTATAATAATTGGGTGGCTATAAAGAAGAATTGGTAGTGGTCTAGTTGTTGTTTCCATGGACTCTTATGGTTTGGATCTTCGTTGGCACTAACTACTTGTGGTTTGGAACTTTGTTGCTACTATTTCTCCTCGTGCCTTTATCAATATCTTTAGGTTCCTTCACACTTCCTTTTTGTCTACCCTATGAAATATAAAATTTAATATTAACCTACTTATGGTTTCTTAGAAGGCAATTACTACGAGTCATCACTTGTGTTCATAATAATGTTCTCTTCACGCTTTGGGGGATGACGATGAAATCTTGAATATAAGTATATGATAAGTACAAAGATAAATATGAACGAAAACATTCATATCCACTGAGATACCCACATAAGCAATTTGTAATTCCATGAAAATGAAATTAACATCAGTGAACCATCTCTATGCTAGAGCTAAATAAGAACATTATATATTTTTTATATAAGAGAAAAATCTATTGTTTTTTTTTGGGGCTATACAATATCCCCCATGGTTTTTTTGGGTGTGCATAAAGATGACAAGTGCCGAGTTACTGTTAAAGGAAAAGAATGAGATAAACGAAAATGAAACAAGTCAAGACTCAAGGAAGTTCGCAGACAATTATCCGTAGAGATAATAAGCACACAGAGACACAAACAAGCAGGTACCAAGTCTCTTCAGATGTTTCTACCTCTAAATCAACAATTGAGACGTACTCAGTCCTGATTCAAGCTCAACTGGAAAGCACACGGTTCTCAAACCTTAATTGAAGATCTCAGGGGGCAACTAGATCCGAAACATATGGGGGGCTTAAGAGAGCTCCTCTTTGTTGAACTTGTTCCAAGCTTCCTGTTCATTTGCAAAAATTATATGTAGTTAAGCAATAACATTATCCAAAAACTCTAGTATAAGGAATATTACTGAGTGTAGTTTTGTGGATCTGTGCAAGAGACAAGAAACTAAGCTAGATTTCTTAAAATTACTAACACAAAGACTACTAATTTTTGGACATCGTTCAGATAAAAATCTACTGAGTGATTCGGTGGGAACTAAACCATCATTATTCGCCTGTCAAGTTTTGTCTAAATTAGATTCTAGAAAGAGAGATGCTCATGCATTCAGAAAGAAAATACCTTCAAAATGTCAAAAACCTTTTCGGCAATATACTTTTGTTCAAGAGTGGCTCCCTTCTGTTGAACTTTATCGGGATGAACAAACAGCGTTGCCTTCCTATACACTTTCTTCACTGCTGAAGAAGTGATCAAATCTGTCAGTGAAACGGCCTCCCAACCACATCCAGGCCAAAGTACCTGTCATCGTCAAAAACAGAGCCAGAACTCGGTGAACTTAGGAGGAGCAAATGGATAAACATTTTTTAACTATAAATAACTCACATTTTGCAAAGAAGACAACAGCGCACGCATGTTTCCTTCTTTTCCAGTTACCCAACGCCTTATCTCACTATCAGCAGTCTCAGAAATCCTCTGAAAAGCAAGATTAAAAAGGAAAGGACTGTTGGTATACAACCACACCAACATGGAGACTGTATATATTTGTTTAAAAAAAAACAAAAGCACTACAGGAAATGAGCATTATCATAAGGAAGACTAATATATATCCAGAACACTGACCGTATAAGCATTATTATGATAATAAAATAAAACCATAAATGTCAAGCAAAACATAACTTACAGTTCTCTGTTCTTGTTCAATACGAGATTGATGATCACGATTATTCATATCAGCTACAGCTTGTGCCTACATTTTAAAAGGCACTCAATACTGTAAAACCATCTGGAACCAAAATATACAATCAAGTACAAGCTAAACATTGATGAGCATAGCAAAACTTCGAACTTCGTTGCAGAATTCCTATCAGCTATAAGTATCATCAATTTTGCCTTGCGGACATGGCCACTAAATTAAATTGGTTGCAGAGAAATTCATCATAGATTTTTATACTATCATTTAACTTCATTAGATATCATTATAAGTTGCAGAGGAAAAAACGAAATCAAGGGTTGCAGCAGAAGATTCAAAAGAAAACAAAAACGACAACTCATACCACACGGCTCTTTGTTCTCTGTTCACGATCCCATCTGGCCTTCCTTCTTTCTTCGGTTTCCCCAGGGATTTCCTCAAATTCTTTAAAAATAGGGTCCTCTGTAGACAGAGAAACATTTATAAAAAAGTTAGACAAGAGTAAGCAATTGCATCAATAGACATGTTTCCACAACATCTACCTCCAAAAAGTGCAGAAAAGTCATCCACCAGATTTGTTGAAGCAGGAGGCTTCTTTGCACTAGAAACCCCATTAGTCGTCTTTTTTGGCACGTTGACTGCTGGCTTGCGAGTTGCCTTAGCATCAGAAAGAAAGAATCAAGCATACACAAATAGAACACCTTTTCTTTAATCAAAACAAAAGTCGTTCTTACTTCAGTTGTTGTCCGTGATTTTGGTACACTGCTGGAGCGAGGCCCAGAGGTGAAAAAAGAGTCGAGGTCATCTACACCAAACTGTTTTGTCTCTTCAGCTTCTTTATATTTACTGGCAGCGTCAGAGGCGGAGGCACTACGACGCATGGTACCCATGGCAAAGTCGTCAAGTTCGTCTACTGAAGACATCACTGAACTCTTAGCTGTGCAAAATAATCCCTCGACTAATTAGATACCAATGACAACAATACACGAATTCGACATAGTTTGTTTCGGTTCATCAAAGAGATTAAGTAACCTCTGTTAACTTTTTGCGTTGGTTTAGGTGGAGGCTTGAGTTTTGAAGAAGCCTGTGAGGTAGTAGCTGGTTTTGTCCCCTGAGAACTGACAGAAGCAGCAAATGCATCAAGTGGATCCACGAAGATACCGGAAGAAGAATGCGCTCCAGACATAGCTGACTCCAGAACCACAAAAGGGTCAGCATCAGCAAAGTTGGATGCGGTAGTCTTGCTGAAAGCATCAACCAAAAGAAAAACAATATTTCAAACCATAAAACTAAATATTTTCATGTCAGAATTGTACCTAACATTCCAAATACCATTCACAAGACATTCCATACATGATAAACATGAGAATCTCATACACATTTCAACAAACTGATGACAAACAAACCTGCTAGTGGTATGAGAAGATGCAACAAAACCAGGTATCAATTCATCAAAACCATTCTTCCCTGAATTGTTCGATTTAGTACCAAATCCACCCATATCACCCAACAAATCATCAACAGGAGCGTATTGCTTCTGCTTCGTAGAGGAAGAGAAGGACCCGAAAATATCATCATTATTTGATGATGCAGGCATAGCACCAAACAAGTCATGAGCATCAAAACCGTGCGATGAAGATGAGGACTTGCTTTTGTTATTGCTCAGCCCACCGAAAACATCGAAATCGTCAAATCCACTGGAACTAGCGCCGTTCAAAGTAGTCGAGCTCGAGGTAAAGAAAATGTCGTCACCGTAATGGGAAGATCCGTTACCAGAGGATACCTTATTGGAAGAGTAGGATGTCGTCGTCGTGGTGGATTTCCAGGTCTGAGGATTGTTGGGAGAACGCTTGGAGGCAGCCATTGGAGCAGATTTGCCTTGGGGCTTGATCCCATAACGCTCCGTCAGAACTCCAAACTCGTCCATTCTCCGTGATTGATCAATCCAGATAAACAAAAAACAAACTCAATCAATCAGGGATCGATCCGCCGTGAAAATCAGGGATCTAAGGTGAAGATGGGAGGGAGGGAGAGATTCTCTAAAATATGGAAAGAAGAGAAAAACAATTGTCGTCTCCTCTTTTTCTTTCTAGAAAATTAAAATCTGATGAGAGGGCACCGACGAAGACGATTGATTACCCACGAAAATGAATGAATGGGGTTGGTGTGGGTCCTTGTGACAGATGGCTTTGCCTTTTTTAAATTCCCACCTTTCCCCTTTCTTATTTATACCCCCTTCCTATTTTTCTTTTCGAACACTCAAATATATCCCATTTAAATCTCATCTTTATTGTTGATTAAGAAACAAATCATTTTAATTGTTTAAGTTTCATTTTATTATTCTTATCAATTAAAATTATTATTTTACAGTCATATTACAGAGCAATCTGACATAATTGGTACAACCTGTCTACTCTATATATCCATTATTGGCTTGTAGACATGGATTTAAAAGCGCATACATACTCCTTTTATAACTGCATGTGTTAATGTTTTTAAATTCATAGGTATCAAAAAAATATTACCACACAAGGCTGAACATGCAAAATAAAAAAAATATACACTCAAAACTACACGAAGTATATGGTATGAATAGTAACATACATGAACTTTATGTTATTATGTAGGTAACAACACAAAACTAATAACAATTAATTACATCATAAGATTAATTCCATTTATAATAAATATAACATATAAAAACATTTTAAGATATGAAAAACCTTTTTATATTTTATACTTTTATTATTATGAATATTTTATTTTTAAAAGTGTTATACAACAATATTAAAAATTAATTTTATTTCAGAAAAAAAACTTTTAATTTTATTTTAATTTATATTTTTAATAGTTTGTCCTTTATTTTTCTATATGATTTGTTAGTTTGCCCTATTTGTTGTAGCACAATTCATTTTTCCTTCATTAAGGATATATTTTTACAAATACATTTTTCACTAAATGAAAAAAGACTTTTCTACCAATTTTTATAAACATATCTAAATATAAATAATTATGTAAATAGTTAATTCATTACAAAATTATTTTTCAAAACTTTTTATATCTTTTAAATGTCTTTATAATCATTTTCAGTAAACAAATTTAAGTATTTTATTGCAAAAAGTTTTTGTATTAAATATTACAAATATTAGAACATTTTAGTTTATTGAAAATGTTTATAAATAAAGAGATGTAAAAACGTTTTCAAATATACCTAATTATGTAGTTTCATTAAAAAACAAATACTTTTTTATCCTTACATTATAAATATAAATAATTATTTAAATCATGTATAAAAAAAATGCTAAACTAAAAAATATTAAAAATATGTAAAATTAAAATAAAGTTAATTTTTTTCTAAAATAACATTAATTTTAATATTATTGTATAAAACTTTTTTAAAATAAAAATATTCTTAATAATAAAAAATCAAATAAAAAAGATTTTCCATATCTTAAAACATTTTTTTATATTTTTATCTTTTATTAATATAATTAGCCTTGTGATATAATTAGAATAATTGGTCTTGTGATGTGATGTCCAGATTGTACAACCAAATATCACTGATTTACAGAGCCATGTGTGGAATATCCATGCCCCTGGAAAGATGAAACACTTTAAATGACAAGCTTTAACATAATGTATTGTGACGACCGAGAGACTTGTCGATAGGCTATGTTTTGGATCTCAGGTATATAGAGGTACTACAAGGAGGAAGTGATGAACCTCTGGATATTGTGCTAAGGAGCATACCACGTTTTTCTTTGTCCAAAAGAGGAAGTTCATGTTTTGGTATATAGAGGTACTCAGGAAGTAATTTGAAAGGGGAGAATAGTCCAATAAAGTCCACACCTGAAGGGCGGGGAGCATTCAAAAAGAAGATAATTAATGGTTTCTTCAGTGTCACCGCATCTAGTTGTCGGATAGTGACCTATATGGAACCACTTATTGAGACCTTCCCATGAATCCTATGGTACATTTGGAAGGCACGCAACGATAAACTTTTCAATGGAAAGGATGTATCATCAGTTGACACCCTACAGCTAGCTTCCCTTGAAGCCAAGTGTTGGAGAAAGGCAAACTTACCTGAGGATGAAGAGAAAGAGGAGGCTCTACCTGCCACGTTGGCTAGCTCGATTCCCCCTGTGGACCATCAATGTTCGACATGCCAGATCGATGTGTCATGGATCGATAATGGCACGGTCAGTGGCCTAGGGTGGTTCTACAAGGACCAAATGGGAATCAAACGATTTGGATTACAAGGATGCCGACAAAGCCTATCGCCCCTCCATACAGAGATGGAAGGTCTTATATAGGCGATGTTTTGTTTACGAGAGCTACACTGCACCACGATTCATATGGAATCAGACTGCTCCGATCTGGTGGACATGATTGCTCACCCTACCGATTGGCTGGCCTTCTCCTCCGAGCTAGTCTCATCCCGGCTTCTACGAGTTGGATTCTCGGAGTTTAGCATCGCCCACATATCCAGGGCTAGGAACCTGCGTACAGATTCCCTTGCCAAAGAGGCGAGAATTAACGGTGTTCTTTTTTCTCATATAGATCAGACTCAGCCGGACAGAGCGTTTCTTCGAAACGTCTCAAGACCGTCTACCACTTGATTTTGAAAGATGGGCGTCGACAAAAAAAAAAAGGAAAAAAACTGATCTTGTGATGTTGCCTACATAACAACATAAAGTTTATGAATGTTAGTATGCATATCGTATATACCTCGTATAGTTGAGTGTGCATTTCTTTACTTTGCATGGTCAGCCATATAGTGGCCAATACTTCAGGTAGCTAGCAATCATTTTTTCTTAATTTTATAAAGTTTGGAGGAACTTCTGCATATCATTAACAAATCTTACTATATATATTAGTTGAGATGATTTTACTTAGGTGTCACTTATAAGTAAGGTTCATAATTAATTTTCTTAATTTAATTGGTTGTTCGTATTTGAATTTTCATTTATTTAAATAAAAATTTTAAAAAGTAACAAATCATAGAATTACATAATCTAATATATCTTATCAAATAAACAATCAAACATCTTAAATTTAAATGAATTAAAATAATTTTATTATTTAAACACTTCATTATCATATATTACATTATGTAAATTTTTAATATAAATACATATAATACTACATAAAAAACTATACAAACAATTTTTCAAATATTATACTTATAGTGGATACAATAAATCATTGATTGCAGAAAACTGATAAATTCAACCCTAATAATATTTCTACGAAATATATATTGTACATATATTATAAAAATGTGTCAAATAAATGCAGAACACTCAAATGTATAATTTTTAAAAAAAATCAATCACTATAATTGACAATGTGATATTATAGTTGAGTTATATAAATGATTAAGTATTTTTATATTTAAAATATCACATTCTTATATATATATATTAATTGAGAAGTCACTTAAGTGTTTTTTTTTCTAATGTGTCAATTATAAGATAGCTCTTTATTAATTATTTTATTTGATTGATTAATAGTTTTTAATTTAATTTTTAATTCATTTTTAAAATAATAAATCAAGAACTAACTTATATCAATAACCAATGATCAATTCTCAGATTTGTGTCATAAAGTATCTTGTGCATTTACTTAAATAAATGTTTTACGAAAGGCAAAATTTAAAAACTTTCCCTAGCCTATTTTATAGATAATAAAAAAATATAATTAGTGATTAGTAATTTATTACATATGTATTATATAGATAATGCCGATAATAATATACATATACAAAATTATGTATAGTATAATTTAAAATAAAAATAAAATTAATTTTAGATAACAAGCATACTTAAGATTTTCAGTTAAAAATCTGATAAATTATTTTAGGTTTTGAATGATTTTTTTACAAAAAAAAAATTAAAAATATTCTTGTATGTTATATAAATGTATAATTAAAAGTAAAAAACAAATATTCATAATTTTCATTAGTTTTATATTGCATAGAAAATGATATAGAAAATATGTATATCATACTATATATTACTTGAAAAGTCAATATAGTGATTTTTGCTTAGGTGTCACACATAGATGAGGCTTAAAATTAATTCTCTTAATTTAATTGGTTGTTGGTATTTGAATTTTCATTTATTTAAATCAAGTTTTTAAAAAGAAACAAATCATAGAATTACCTAATCTAATATATGTTACCAAATAAACAATCAAACATCTTAAATTAAAATGATTTAACATAACTTTATTGTTGGAACAATTTATCATCATAGATTACATTATATAAATTTATAATATAAATACATATGATACTACATAAACAATTATATAAACAAATTTTAAAATATTATATTTATATTGAATACAATAAATCATAGATTGATGAAAACTGATAAATATAAACCTAATAATATTTCTACTAAATATATATTGTACATATATTATAAAAATGTGTCAAATGAATGCAAAACAGTCAAATCTATAATTTTTTAAAAAAAATCAATCACTATAATTGACAATGTGTTATTATAGTTGAGTTCACTTTTATAAATGATTAGAATATGTTTTATATTTTAAAATATCACATTCTCATATATATATATATATATATATATATATTAATTGAAAAGTCAATTAATTGTTTTTCTGATGTGTCAATCATAAGATAGCTCTTTATTAATTATTTTTATTTGATTTATTAGTGGTTTTTAATTAAATTTTAAATTCATTTTTAAAATAATAATCAAGAACTAACTTATATCAATTACCAATCATCAATTCTCAGATTTGTGCCATAAAGTATCTTATGCATATTTTATGAAAAGAAAATAAATGTTTTACGAAAATATAATTTTAAAAATTTCCCTTACATATTTATAGATAATAATAAAAATATAATTAGTGATTAGTAAATTATTACATACTAGATATTTTCCCGCTCTGGCAATTTTTTTTAATGCATATTGAAAAACAAAATCAAGTACTTGTTATTAATAACAACCCAGGTACTTCTATATACTCCCTCCGTTCCTAAATATAGGATTTTTTGGGTTTTTTCTTTGTTCCACAAAGTAAGATTTTCTGTAAAATATTAATGTTTTTTCATTTAAAATTAACTCAGTCA